CCTCCATCCTTCTTCTTCACTAACAGCACGGGGCTCGAAAATGGACTGATGCTTGGCTGGATTATCCCTGCCTCTAACATATCAGCCACCAACTGCTCAATCTCTGTCTTCTGGGCATGAGGGTAGCGATAGGGCCTCACATTAACGGGTTCAGTCCCTGGCTTCAACGTGATGGCATGCTCATGACCCCGTAGAGGAGGCAAGCCCCCTGGCATCTCAAAAACAGTGTTATAAGCTGCTAAAATATTCTGAATGGGTTCTGGGTAATTAGAGTCCTGTTTAAGTTCTTCTGCTTGCACCGAACAGAGCTCCACCAGTAAACCCTNCCCCTGGCATCTCAAAAATAGTGTTATAAGCTGCTAAAATATTCTGAATGGGTTCTGGATAATTAGAGTCCTGTTTAAGTTCCTCTGCTTGCACCGAACAGAGCTCCACCAATAAACCTTCACCCTCCATCTGTATAGTTTTTAACATCGACTTCAAGGAAACCAATGACTTACTTAACCCTTCATCCCCTTTTAAAGTTACAGTCTTATCCCCATGGGTATCTTCATTACCAATAGCTTCCAATTCACTTGAACGGTGCCTAACGTACTCAACCATTACATTCCCAGAATAATGTCAGAACTACTCAGGTCTAGTGGCAAATACTCATCAACGACTACCACGGTTTGCATATAAAGCACCACTCCTTTACAAATTCCTTTTCCTTTAACTGCCAACCTTGTGCCGACCTGCACCCCATAACCATTAGTCTCATTAATGGGTAATTTCAATTTCTGAACCAATTCTAGGGATATAAAATTGTGTGTTGCTCCGGAATCAATCAGTACTACAACCTCCTGTCCATTAATCGTACCTTTTACCTTCATAGTTTTAGGTGATGTCAAACCGATCACCGAATTCATTGACAACTCCACTCTCTCTAAATCTGTTCTATCTAATTTCTCCTCAGGTACTTCTTCCTCATCGCCCACCTCAATGTCATCATCAACTAGCAACACATGCAATTCCTTGTTACGACACTTATGCGCGATAGTATATTTCTCATCACATCTAAAACTCAACCCCTTCTCCTTCCTGGCCTGTATTTCTGCCTGTGATAACTTTTTAAATCCTGAAGTTGATTGTGTAGAGAGTGTTCCTGTCTTCTCCAACGGAATATTCCCTCGAGGAGAATTCCAAGGCATGGTTCTATTCTCTGTCCGAACATGGAGGTTATAGTTAGAACTTCTATAACGTGGACGCTCCCAAGTCTTACTAATTCGCACATTTCTATCCTCGATCCGTTGTGCCATATCCATGATTTGAGATAACCCTTTTGGATTAGCCATCAACACCTCTGCCTGCAGCTCTTCGTCCAACCCATTGATAACAACCCCTTCTAAGGTCTCGTCATTCACATTTTGAAGCAGTGATGCGATGATCTCAAATTTCTCCCTGAATTCTGCTACAGTTCCTATTTGTCTGATTGCCAAAAATTGCTGGTGCAGAGTGCCATACTGAGTGTCTCTGAACATTTCCAACAGACGATGTTTTAGATCCCCCCAGCTTCGCATAGGCTGTCTCCCATCCTCCCACTGGAACCATGAAAGAGCACTGCCCTCCATACATACCCCAGCTGCCCATGCCCGTTCGGCATCACTCAGCTTACTCATGCAAAAAATATCTTTCGGCTCTAAAAATCCATGAATCTGGATCAGTCCCATTAAACAGTGGCAGCTCAAGCATGCGATAAAGTCCCTCCCCAATGTCTAATTTCTGCTTATCCTTGCTCTTCTTTAGCTCGGAAGAGAG